TAGGAGACCAAAACGAATTAGTGATGTAATTGAAATTCTAATACTTTGAGGTGTTTTGTAATGTTTCGATGCATTTACACAATTTTTTCAGAATATTTAAAGTTGTTTTAAGTGCTTTGATATATTTTGACCAATGTTTTGGAAAAATAATCCGGATTTTTTTTATTCGTTTCCATTCTATTTTTGAAACAGGTCGAAACGTTTTAGTGATTGAAAGTATCGAAACGAAATTTTGATCCTTGCATGCTGTAATTTAAGAAATCTTTGAAATTGTGTCTGGCTGCATGTTTGTTAGTTATATCTGACCTTTTTTACATCAGGTGGAAAATCTGACTCGTAAAGCCCAACTTCAGGAGTTAGAGCTGGAAAGAACTACTAAACAACTAAAGGATGCGATAGCAATTGCACGGGAAGAGACTGCAAAATGCAAAGCAGCGAAAGAAGTGATCAAGTCACTTACTGCCCAAGTAAGAAAATGTCTATAATATGGTTTTAAACCTTGTATGAGATGACTTGATAAGTTATGGGGTTGTCTGCATGTTCTGTGGAATAATTTTAGTCCGGTGTTTCCTAAACAGCATCACATATCAGCCTAATCTGTTTTTCATGTCATTTGAGAAGAGTCCATTTCATTAACAAGTGGGATCTTTTTAAAACACTGAAAGATGAATCTTCTTCATTTTTAATTGTCATTTCATATGTTGATATTGCTTATTCTCAATAATAAATTTGTGCCTCAAATGCTAGGGAACAGGAAGTGAAATCAATGGGAGGTTCAAATGAACATTTATTTAATTAAATGTTTTACTTCAGTATTTATACTTGGCTTCTCAATTTTGAAATTATAACTAAACAGTGAACTACTATTTGGTTGCTTCCTTAAAAGATTGCTTATGATCAATTCAAGGAAGAAAAATTTCCCATCATATGATTTAATTGAGATAGTAAAAGTGATATTAGGGTTAGAGGGAAAGAGAGAAGAAAGAGAGTCAGACAAAGGAGAGTAATCAGTTGTGGAGGCAGTGTTTTTCCACACTCTTATTTATAATAAACTGACATTATGAGCAATTACATTATTTTTCTACACTACTAATAATCTAAAATAAGAATTCTAACACTCTCTTTCAAGTTTTAACATACATCTCAAAGATGCCCCAGCTTGGAACAAAGATTACTAAAGATAAATTGAGCCAATGGTTTGGTTAGGATGTCACTAGTTGATCACTAGATTTGATGTATAGTGTGACAGTCTCCTTTCACATACAGTATGAGTCATGACCCGATATTTAGCCTCTACACACGAACGTGCTACTGCGTTTTGTTTCTTACTCCGCCACATCACAAGGTTGCTACCAATAAATATAGAGTTAGAGTAACCCGAAATAGATCGCCTATCAACACGAATACCTACCTAGTTAGCATCAGAAAAGTCAATAATAGTCATGGATGTTGAAGGACGATATAATAATCCTTAACCTGGTGCTCCTTTTAGATACTAAAGAATACGACATATAGCCTCCCAATGAAGTTCACGAGTAACATGTAGGAGCTAACTAACCACACCAACAACATAGGTAGTGTCAGGATGTATAACTGTAAGATAGATTAATTTACTAACTAACCTTCGATCAATGATCAAAATATCATTTCGGTGTATTGCTTCAGTCACCTAGGAAATGGAAACGTTTCGACGTGTTTCGGAAACGTTTTGACCCGTTTTGGAAATATAATGAAAAAAATAAAAATTTAAGAATTATTTTTCTAAAATATTGATGAAAATATATCAAAATATCTTAAAATACCTTAAAACATTCTAAAACAATTGTGCAAATGCATTGAAATATTATAATACATTTAAAAATATTATAGAATACCTCGAAATATTATAATTTCGATTCCATCACTGTTTCGTTTCGACCTCCTGGGAAACGGAAATGTTTCGGACGTTTTGACCGTTTCGAAACGATATTTTGATCCTTGCTTTCGATAGTGCTCTACTTCATCAAAAATTTCACCACTCTCTGAATCTATTCAGACAATCTAATACATACTCCCGTTGACACAAATTGATACCTTCTTTTGACCGAGCAACCTATCCCAAGAAAATACTAAAGAAGTCCTAGGTGTTTGACATGAAATTGTTTCCTCAAATGAATCTTGAAATGAGCAATACAAGTTGAGTCATTCCCACTAACGGTAGTATCATTAACATATACAATAAGAATAATAATACATGTGGAAGAATGATGAATAAATATTGAATACTCTAAGTTGGAGTGCTGAAAACCATACTGAAGTACAACAGTATTGAACTTATCAAACTAAGCACGTGGTGATTGTTTCGGGCTGTATAGTGCTTTCTTAAGATGACACTAATTTTTTCTTACCAAATGCAACATAACCTGGAGGTGGTACCATATATACCTTCTTCCATAAGTCTCCACATAAAAAGGCATTCTTGAGTCTAGTTGATATAAAGGTCAATCACAATTAATTGTAACAGAAAGAAGAACTCTAACAAAGTTAAGACAAGCAATAGGGGTAAGTCTCACAGAAACCCACACCATATGTCTGGATGTATCTTTTGGCAAACAAGCGTGTACTACTTCGTTGTGAAGACATTATTTTCTTGAGGTCAAGGGTTCAAGTCCCTCTTCTTTCTATCCCTCTCCCTCCCAAAAAATAAAAAAAAAAAAAAAATAGTTCAACTAAACTATCAAGATGATATTTCACTGGGTAGACCCAACAAAAGCTAACAACAATTGACAGGCTGCTTACTAGAAGGTATAGTAGTAAGATCCCATGTCCGATTCTCATGAAGGACTTTCATTTCTTTATCCATAGTCAGTTGCCAACTAGGAGATGTTAGTGCATGTTTCAAGGAGTTGGGAACAAACACAGATGACAAAGTTGATTGAAAACAACGAGAGGATGAAGAAAGTCGATGCAAAGAAATAAAATTAGAAATGAGATGCCTAGTACAATTATGAGTACCTTTCTTAATGCAATAGGTAAATCAGAAGATGATAAAGTAGCTTACGGCTCAGACGATAAGACCTCGATAGAATCTTGCGATGGCTGTGGAGTTGGAGTATATGGAACAACATTTCTGTCCTTAGAGCGATGACAGATCTGCAAGGAAAGGCTAAGAATTGGGGAAGAAGAGACAGAGTCTGGGACAACACGTAAATACTAAATTTGGGGAAAAGGCATGTCCGGGCGCAAAGAAGAAGGAAGATGACTCAAAAAAAAGTAACATCAACACTGACATAGTATTGACGAGTGACAAAGATTATAACAATGATAACCTTTTTAAGTATGAGAATATCCAAAAAAAATGCACTTAACCGAGCGATATGAAAGTTTATCCTGACATAAACGAAAAAGGTGAACAAATGTAATACAACCAAAGACACGAGGAATGAGACCAAATGACTGTGTATTAGGATAGAGCAATGAGAAAGGAGATTTGTTGTCCAAAATAGACGAAGACATGCAATTAATCAGATAAACTGAAATAAGAACAACATCAACCTAATATCGTTTTGGCACATAAATGTTAAACATTAAAGTGCAGGTATCATCTAACAAATGACGATGTTTACGTGTAGCAACACTATTTTGTTTGAAGGAATGCTAACAAGTGGTTTGATGGATAATGCCTCGGTCAACACAAAAGATTTTCATAAACGATTCAATATTCTCAAGGGCATTGTCAGACCAAAGAATTTTGATACATATATCAAACTAAACTAGAATTCCATTATAAAAGGTGGTAAATACCTTAGGCAATTTAGATCATTCTTTCATAAAAAAATAACCAAGCCATACGGGAGAAATCATCTACAAAGATTACAAAATATTGAAAATTAGAAATACTTCTGACTCGTGCTGGACCCCAAATGTCTTTATGAACTACATAAAAAAGGACTAGATTGACGACTTGAAGAGTTATGAGGAAAAAACTACGGTGATGCTTGTGTAATTGACAAGTTTTGCATTCTAACACAGAAGAAGGACTCAAACCAGGAATGACTTGGCGCAATTTCTGCAATGAAGGATAACCTTGTCGAAAATGCCACCGGAGAGGAGACACAATAGCATTTAAGGTAGGAAAGGAACTTTTGCGATTCAAGTAACCAAGAATGGGGCCAATGGACTACAAACAATCTTCAATCACACAAACAACCAAGAATGGAGCCAAAAAAAAGGGCTAGAGATGCTCAAATCACAGACAAAATGCCTAAAGCACCCAAATCGCCGTCAATATCATAGCCATAAACCAACTTGGGAAGCAAAATCACAACACAACACACCAATAAGGTTCAACCACAACACAGGAAGTAGAAACAATCACAAACACTAGTAGCTGAAGTGTGTGAATCCTGTCCAGACCAAAACAACAGGAAGTCGGCACTCCTTAGGCACAAAAACATGTCCAAAACCATCATATACAACTGGGCATCTCAGGTAGCCCCTCCCAAGACCTAATCGGCACCCACAGTTGCAGATACAAGCCAAAATCTAGCCAAAAAATCCCAAAAACAATATATCTGGAAATTAAACCGTCGATATCCAATCCACGACAACACCCATAACAACACATGAACCAATCACACAACCAGGCCTCAAGAAAACACAACACAAAGGTCAAGAAACAACAAAGAAAAATGTTGGATGAACATATGGAACAACCAAGGTTGTTGGATGAATAAATTTGGAACAAATCTAACTGAATACTATTGCCAACCAATAGATCTGGAATGAATCTAACAGAACAGGAGAAAAACAGTGCTTCCAACCCAAAAACGAAGAAACCTGGAGCATATTAACCAAGATCGAAGAGATCTGGAATAAGTCGAACCCAGGCGTAGGTCACCATAGTGCTGTCGTTACTTCATTTGCTCAAAAACACCAATACACCAGCCAAACAAGGCTGGGCAACTTAGAAAAACTCCCTCTTAGTCCAAATCGACACCAATAGAGGTAGATTCAAGCAACAGATCAGTTAAAAAAGGGCAAAATCAGTAGATCTAGAAAACCAACCCCTATTTTCCCAAAAAGATTCAAAAATAGAAAACTCTATGTAGATGGCTTCAAAAAATTATCAAAAAATCATTATACTTCCGAGGGCAACGAGTCGACCATGAAGGTATTTTTCTGTCACTGGAAAGTATTGATGTCAACATTCCGGCGCTGACGTTAGAAACGACTGGCGGTTGACTTTTTTTTTTGTGTGTGTGTGTGTTGTGTTTTTAGGGGCCTTTGCCTAAAAAACTTGTTTTGATACCAAGTTGATATATTAAAAGTGATATTAGGGTTAGAGAGAAGGAGAGAAGAAAGACAGACTNTTAGAAACGACTGGCGGTTGACATTTTTTTTTTTTTGTGTGTGTGTGTTGTTTTTAGGGGCCTTTGCCTAAAAAACTTGTTTTGATACCAAGTTGATATACTAAAAGTGATATTAGGGTTAGAGAGAAGGAGAGAAGAAAGACAGACTGACAAAAGAGAATAATCAGTTTTGTATCAATGCAGCCCTACACTCTTATTTATAATAAATTGACATTACGAGGTATTACATTATTATCGTACACTACTAATAATCTAAAATAAGACTCTAACATGGTTGAATGAAGCTTGTCTGTGGCTATTAAGCCATTAGTCTCAGATGGCAGGTTGCTAGTGTGAACTTTAATTATCTTTTAAAGCTGATAAAAATCACGTTCTCTTGAACCATACTGGGTTTAAATAACCTTTACACAAGTAGCGGTAATGCGGATCATTGAAGGGAGGAAATTCTGTTTGCAACTTGGTAATAAAATAGACCAAATGGAGAATATGCCCTTTAAATTTAAAGTCGTGTAATGCATGGCTTTAAAGGACAAGTTCACTTGGCCTCTTGTACTCTAGAAGGTGAGTTTTGGAGATTTGTAAAGGAAAAGTCTTGAATGTCCTGTGTGCCAGTAAATTTCGTGAGCAAATTACATATTTTCTAGTAGGTGGATTTACAGTTTACTCCTCATGATCTTCTTGTTCAACTTGTTTGATGGTTACCGCAGTGAAATGTGTCAACATTTGTACTATACTTCCATGGAATTATACTTGGCCCCCTTGCCTTCAATATGTTGTCTACAGAGGTAACAGCAAAGTATGAATGTGATGTTGATTAGGGTCTCTGAAAAACTCTTCAAAGGGTGCTTTTGAAGTTTAAGTATGATATAGGGAGGTTTGAGCTTCTCTGGGTTGGTTTGGTGGAGTTTTAGGAAAGGAAAAGAAGAGATTTATGGCTTTATAGGGTTCATTCAGGGCTGTGGATAGGGGTAGCAATTTGTTTCATTACATGTCAGAGGGTAGGTATTCCAAAGAATGGGTCAACTTGAACATGACACAATTCAAAGGTAACATGACAATAGTTGTGTAACCTGTTTATTAAGTAGATCTGGTTAGGTAGGTTCCGTGGGTTAAACAGGTTGCAGGGTCATATTTTTAGTTGAAATGTATCCCCAAGTGTTGTGGCCCAGTCTCCACAGGCATAAAGAAATTAGAGAATGGTCTGTTGAACAAGGCTCTAATGTTTGGATATAAATAATAATATTTATGTAAGAAATTTGAAGTTTGATAAAACTATTTAGGCCTTAACGGACTGTTTGCTTCTATTAATTTTTTTTTTATCAGGTTCTGTTGATTTACGTGAATTTGTCATTCTTGTTTGATCAAAACAAGGGCAGTTATAGTTATAATATTTAATGAGTATAGGTCCACATATTTGGACATCTTGAACTAATATTTGTGGAGTCACTCTTACATTTGGTTTTGTTTGTTTGGGAAAGTGAAGAGAGATCCAGTTGACAGAGGTATGGGGTTCAAATCTCATCCCCATGGGATGAAGGTGTTGCAGGCTACTTTATCGTTTCCAGAAAATAAAATAAACAAAAGCTATTCTACACCGTAGTCATGAACAGCTATTGACCACATTGATGCTTAATCCAGTTTACTATGACTCAATATTCAGACTTTCATTCATGTGCCAGTCTTGCATTGTTTTTCTTCTGGGGCATGTTGCACTATTCTAGCTGTTCCTTGATTTCCTTTGGCATTGGCCTTATGTTAGAGAAAACCATGACTGATAACTGACATCAGTTTTGTATTCACCTTGCTTTTGTTGGCATTCCGTGCTGATGATAAAATATTATGGGTTGTATGGAAATAGCTGAAGGACATGGCTGAAAGGCTGCCCGTGGGCACAGCTCGAAATGGCAAATTTCCTTCCTTCACTTCCTTTGGCTCCAATCCTGCTACCATGGATGTTTCAAATGCTTCTATTGACCTAGTGAATGGTCAAACTATGCGCCAAGAACTGGATTCAAATGGATCAAATGGCCAATTACTTTCTAATGGGTCAAGCACTGCTAGTAAAGGCAGTTCAGGTCACAGCAGAGCAGGACATTCAGATGGAACAGCAAGAAGTGGAAGCCGAATGAAAGAAGGTGATCCTCGGAATGACAATGAATGGGTTGAGCAAGATGAGGCCGGCGTTTATATTACACTCACATCCTTACCTGGAGGTGTGAAGGACCTTAAGCGTGTTCGCTTCAGGTATGTGTATATCTGGTTTTGGCTGATCTTTTTTGGATGATTATCGTATGTCTTACAAATCCTACTTTTTGGGCCGAATTTGGACAATGGTATAACAGCTGCACGAATGCAGGCTACAATTTTTTTGTTTGTTTCTAGTTATATCAAGTACGATTTCGTTATGGATTAAACACATGCATTAATGTATGGATGCAGTCGCAAGCGCTTTAGTGAGAAACAAGCAGAACAATGGTGGGCGGAGAATCGGGCAAGAGTATACGAACAATACAACGTGCGCATGGTTGACAAGTCAAGCATTGGTGTAGGGAGTGAGGATTTGGCGCATTGACATTGTTGGAACATCTTATGTAAATGTTCTATTTTTTTTTCATACACTCGTGCTTCAGCACTGGGAAAGTGATATTTTGATCAGTTAGGTCTGGCTTTCATCATATTAAGCATTGGAAGTGAGGGGGTGCCGTAAGAGGGGAGAGAGAGAGAGTAGAGATTTCTTTTCCTTTGGCTTTGTCACCTAATTTTGCTCTTTCATTTTTTTCACTTAAAACACGTATGGTGTGGAGGTTGAGAGGTGGGAAATGTAAATTCTTGGAGATGTGCTTGCTCCTGTTGAAAGCAACAGCTTTGTAAATTTCCATAAGCGAATGCATTTTCAGAAGTTTCCTTCTTTCTCTTTGCCCTTTCTGTCTTGGTTTCCATTTCTCAGATTAATAGGTGACGTTACTGTTCTTACTCCCACCAAGTGTCATTTCCAACTTTGTTTAATATTTTTTTTTACCATAGGATCTTTAGGTTTATGTCGATTATTTCTTTGAATTCAGCGGTTAGCCATTGTGGCTTGAGCTGTGATTTGTTCCCTTGGATTCCAAACAAAGACCACCCTTCTCCCTACCCTGGAACACCCTGCAGTCCGACGAGACCATCAACACCCTAGAGAAGTATCTCCCCTTCAGGAGCTTCAGCCTCAGCCTCATTAAGGGTTCCACACTGTATTCCGACTAGACCATCGACACCCTAGACCTAGAGAAGTATCTCTCCCCTTCAGGAGCTTGAGCGTCTTAAAAGGGGCCCCAAAAGGTTTTCTTAGAAAGAGGAAGACCAGAAGACTGCCAAAATAACCAAGTTTTAAGAGCCAAAACAAGAAAAAACAAGGAAGGTAGATCACAAGCAAAACTTACTTTTTTTCCCTCCGCCGTCAACATCCTAAACTCATGTTATAAGGTTTTGGGTGAAGTCCCACAATGAACACAACCCTCGTGTTTAGTTGTCATCATTAAATTTGGAACCCTAAGGGAAGAAGTTAAGCAAACAAAGATCTTCTATGAGCATCTCCAAGAGAGGAGTTACAGTATACAAAAATTTTAAAATTTAGTTATTTTACCCTAAAATTTCACTCCAGAATAACATCTCCAAAGTATGTAAAATGACATTTTGTTACAGTGACACTCTAAATAACATGTATAAATACTTTATAATATTTTTTTTCTCTCCTCCTTTCCTTTCCTTCATTCTCTCTCTTTCTTCCTTTCACTACTCCCAAAGAAAAATAATACAAAAAAATTGAGAAATAATATTTAAAGGAAGTAGNATTTTTTTTTTATCAGGTTCTGTTGATTTACGTGAATTTGTCATTCTTGTTTGATCAAAACAAGGGCAGTTATAGTTATAATATTTAATGAGTATAGGTCCACATATTTGGACATCTTGAACTAATATTTGTGGAGTCACTCTTACATTTGGTTTTGTTTGTTTGGGAAAGTGAAGAGAGATCCAGTTGACAGAGGTATGGGGTTCAAATCTCATCNGATTCTAATTTAGATATCTTCTTTTGTTCTTTATTTAACATCTCAGATCGGTTCAACCAGGGAACGTGTACTCCCTCTAGTGCTTTAAAAATTTCTTAATGAGTGCAAGTAATGCACATTATTTTATCGGTATATATATTTTAATGCTTAAACAAGGATTCAAAATACTTTAGTGTGATATGTTAAAGTGAAAATTGGGGTTGAGTCCTTCTGGATGGTTTTATAATGGGTTGAGTATGTCAAGGAAACTTATTTGGTGATAAGTCTGGTTTTTATTACTAATAAGTATTTAAGTCCACTATTTTTTTAAATTTCAAAAATACCCTTAACAGTGTTATTCTGCTTAATTATAGAAACCTTAAAAATCTTGAAAATAGTTATAAATTAATTTCTTAAATTAAAAAGTATTATCTTTTAATTCACTCCTAAACTGAAATTGAAATTTATATTCTCTCTCTTTCTCTCTCTCGTTAGAATAAGATCATCACTCCAATACAATATATCTTTTCCTTAAATATCATTTCTTCCTCCATAGCATCAAAATCAGTAGAATTTAGAATATTATCAACAACTATCATATCTTCTATTGCGTTCTGGTCATCATGAACTTCTATGTCGTTGAATTTCAGAAAAAGAAAAAAAGGTTGAAAAACTTGTTCAATGTGTTATTAGTTTAATTCCCAATTTTATTTTTATACTTTTGATAGATAATCCCAAATTTTTTAATGTTTTATGTTATTACGTTTTTTGTTGACCATGTTACTATTTTTTTTCATGTTATTATTTTTTATTGAAAATATTATTACTTTTTTAGTGTTATTTTTTTGGAGGCTTCTTCCTCTGGTTATGAGTTTAAATACTATTATTTTTATTTTTAATTTTGTTTAATGTTTCATATTGCTATTTTTCTTTTGTTAAACATGTTACTATTTTTGTTAAGCATATTACTATTTTTGTTGAACTTGTTACTATTGTTATTTTTTATAAATATTAATATTGAATGTTACTATTTTTTTATGTTTAAATGTTACTATTTTTTTGCGTTTAAATGTTACTATTTTTTGTGTTTAAATGATATTTTTTTTTTTTGTATTTGAATGTTACTATTTTTTATTTTTAATGTTACTATATATATAATCCTAACCTATATATGGATATAGATAGATATGAGAGAGAAATTTTTTTAATGTTAGTCAAACTCTTAAAATTTAAGAGTTTTTAATTTTTAATTTTATTTCACTTCTAAAGGGAAGGAATAATCTGATAAAATTGACAAAAAATGAACTTCATAACAAATAAGTTTTCTTGGCATAAATCCATATAGAAGGACCGACCTCAAAATTTTTCTAAGTTAAATTGGGGTTGAACCCAATGTTTAGTAATTCAGCCCAAATTTAGATTGGATCCATGAGCCTGAAGTCTCAACCTTTTTGGGCTGGGTTCATGTTAGCCTGCTCAAGTTACACCTTTACAAAATAGATTTGAGACCATTTAAATTAGAGATATTTAGAGGTCGATCCCCTTATATAGCCTTATTTGGAGATAAATTCGTCAAGCAAACTTATTTGATTTTAAGTCCGTTTTTTGTTAATTTTACTATTGTAACACTTTTATGTGAAAAATGTTATAAACGACATTTATGGACACAATAATTAACAATATACATCTCATTCATAATCGCTTTCAAATCCGGCTACAATCTTCCAAGCCACAATGTTTCCTTATTCAAAAAACAAGAAATCGAAATTTACAAAAAACCGTTCATATTTAAATTTCAAACTCATTACATTCCATAAAATACAATTTTAATTTACTATTCCAGTTTACTTTGGACTTCATCTCCAAAATATTAATATTTAAAAAATAACAATAGTAACATACTCAACAAAGACAGCGAAATGATCATAAAAAAAATAATAACATGCTCACAAAAAAATAGTAACATGGTAAAAAAGTAATAACAATTATAAATTTAATTTTGTCAAAGTGTGCATTAACCTTGTAACCAAGGTTCAAGAGAACTCATATATTAGTACTAAATTCAAGTGTTATAGATTTCAATTTTGTTGATTTTTTTGTTGCGTAAGACAATCGAGTATTTCTTGATTGTGTTACTGTGAAAAAAGTTCATGTTATTGTACGTGAATAAAAAAAATGGAGTTTAGAGTTTCGATATCTTGATGTTTATAATTGGTGTTGAGTGTCGTAATTCAACTGTCGATTGTGTGTTACTACTCGTCATTTTATAAATTTTTATTTTGTGGATCGTATTTTCACTAAAATCATTCAAAAATTGATGTTACTGTAAAAAAACTATTGTCTTGTAGTTTGTAAAATTAGATGTGTTACTGAGCACAAAACTTTAATGCTACTATGAATATTAAAATGTATGTTACATAATATACGTCTCAAGATTTGTAATTGTATGTTAAAATTCACTATAGTAACATTAATGTCAGTATAGTAACACAATCCTAATTGTAACTTCAATCATATAGTAACATGAATGTTACTATATATTAAATCATATGCATTGTTCAACCTCCCTATATTATGCATTACTGTTGTTAGAAAAAATTTGTTATCTGATTTTTGACNTAAATCATATGCATTGTTCAATCTCCCTATATTATGCATTACTGTTGTTAGAAAAAATTTGTTATCTGATTTTGATTTAATAGATCAACAATTTATTCGTACATTAAACTTCTTATATATAACTAACAAAATATATAACTTCCATATAAAATTTCAGTTAATTATCATAATATTTAATAAACGGTTTTCATATATAACTTAATCAAGAGTTTTCATATATACTTCAATGTTCTAACCTATGTGACTTTCTATAAATGTATAAAACTAATACCGTTAGGGGTAATTTTGAGATTTAAAAAATAAGTGACTTAAGTATCTACATATAAGTTTAAACATGAACTTACCCCAAATAAATTTCATTCTAGAACTCAAGTCATTATAAATCCATCTACGAGGACTCGCACTCAATTTTTACTTTAAATTATGTGCAAATTAATTTTTTGTACCAAGCTTTCGCTATTTCCTTGGGTCTTAAAAGAGCCAAACCCTTAAGAACCTAATCATTGATATTTGGGTAAGACTTTTTTAACAAGAATATCATTTCCCAATTTGTTAATGAGGTAGGACACATTGTTTTATATAAATATAAATAATGAAGTACTTTGTACAACTAGATTGTAGTACAAAGTACAAGAAGTTCTAGAGCAGATCTAGCACAATCACTCGTTCTGTAACAAAGAGAGAGTAGTACGAAATACAAGCATTAGTGTTACTATTATCACTCGTTCTATAACAAAGAGAGAGTAGTACGAAGTACAAGCAATAGTGTTACTATTAACACAAGGTCTTAATATTGTCGACTGTCAAGTGTGTGTGTGAGAGAGAGAGAGATAGAGTTGGCAGCAGAAGTTGAAGCTCTGNTAACAAAGAGAGAGTAGTACGAAATACAAGCATTAGTGTTACTATTATCACTCGTTCTATAACAAAGAGAGAGTAGTACGAAGTACAAGCAATAGTGTTACTATTAACACAAGGTCTTAATATTGTCGACTGTCAAGTGTGTGTGTGTGTGTGTATGTGAGAGAGAGAGAGAGAGAGAGAGAGAGTTGGCAGTAGAAGTTGAAGCTCTGGGAGGACTTAGGTGCGGAAGATGATGACAGAGTGTTGATGTCATTTGGTATCAGAAAAATTGCAAATTGATCAAACACACTATCATCGTCTTCAGCGCCCATGTCCTACAATAGCTCACCGTTTGTGATTGCGTTTTTTCTTTTTTTTTTTCCAAATCCTTCATTTTTACAGGATTCTTGTAACAGGAACAAGAATGCTACATGATTCTTGTTTTTTCTTGATTTTGCTCCTTTCTAGATGTGTGTTAACGTTGTTTCATCAACATATAAGTGGTTGGTGGTTTAGTTCAGACTCCAGAGAGAATAAATCTTCTTAAATTTCTGATTGTGTGGTGTAGGGTCAGGGACGGATTTACAGCGGGGCATTGGGGGTGGGGACAACTAGAGTGCATTAACACTATTCATGCCATAATAGAAAGATTTGGTTCAATCATNCAGGGACGGATTTACAGCGGGGCATTGGGGGTGGGGACAACTAGAGTGCATTAACACCAATCATGCCATAATAGAAAGATTTGGTTCAATCATTGACGCAGTGGTAAACGGAGATACCACAAAACTTGTTCACCTCGACGAGACAACACCAATTTCAAGTATTTTTTACCATTTTTGGAAATCAATGGCTCTTAGGCTAAGATTTTGAAGAGTTTACTTGGGATATTATGGAAGACTGACTTTATTGCTTACTCTTCAAGAGATGGGGTTATGTTTGAACGCCGTTTGAACAGTCTTTTGATGATGTGTATCAACATTGGCTAGTGGCTAGTTGTTTGAAACAAACTCAAATAAAATAATTACAAATTCTTGTTCTACCTCAATCACCCAAAGGCAATTCTATCTTCAGGACACCCCATTCAGCAGGGGCAGAGTAGGGTAGGGTAGTCAATAGCGGTTCTTAGTGGAGTAGTCCTTGGGAGCTGTAACTGGACCACGACCTTCCTTGCACCGNGAAACTCAAATAAAATAATTACAAATTCTTGTTCTACCTCAATCACCCAAAGGCAATTCTATCTTCAGGACACCCCATTCAGCAGGGGCAGAGTAGGGTAGGGTAGTCAGTAGCGGTTCTTAGTGGAGTAGTCCTTGGGAGCTGTAACTGGACCACGACCTTCCTTGCACCGCGGGACACAGTATCAATAATGTCAATGAGCTCTTGTTTATCCTTGAGAATCCACTTGATCTTCTTGTTGTTTCTTGTGCCAAGATCAATCATCATGTGCTTGTTCCTGAAGAAGAACATGACTGTGGATGAGTCATAGAATTCATACATAGTGTTGAAGTCAGGCACCNTAATGTCAATGAGCTCTTGTTTATCCTTGAGAATCCACTTGATCTTCTTGTTGTTTCTTATGCCAAGATCAATCATCATGTGCTTGTTCCTGAAGAAGAACATGACTGTGGATGGGTCATAGAATTCATACATAGTGTTGAAGTCAGGCACCTCTATGCGTGCTAGATCTTGCATANAGGAAGGTTCCTGGAACAAAGAAAGTCAAGTTAGAAGGACGCCGGAGTATTTTTCGGCATATCCCCTCCGACGATCAAGTCAATTTTTGAGAGAGAGGAAGAAGAAAACACTGAGTATATTTTGTAGCAAAAGTTTCACCTCCCGTTCTTGCCTTTAGTGAGGAGTATTTATACCTCAAATACTCATGATTGTTGTCAGTGTGGTCAGTAGATGATCATTAGATACAGGCAATGTGCGCACTGATTCCTATGAGGAATGTCTTCTCTTTTAACTGCTCGGGACCCCGAACAATCAAGTCTGTGTCATCGGTCTGCCGACGGTTCAATGAGCTCCTCTCGGGGAGGATGCAATAAATGTCCAGCCTTAGAGACATTTATTGCCTTTCACTTCTGAGCCTTACCGCATTGAATGTAGTCTCATCAAANTATATTTTATCATTATATTTTTATATGAAATTAATATATACATAATATATTAATATATCAAAAGATATATAGATAAATAAGATTCATATCAACACAAATAATTAATTTTTTATCCACTTTTCTTCCGATTTTGGAGAGATTGATTTTGATGAATTGGAAGAAAAGTTAATCCATCTAATTTTTCACCCTTCATATTTTTTTTCTTACCAAACATGATGTTTTATTTATTATTATAATTTTTCATTCTTCCATTTTTTTATCATACCAAATGGAGTATAATGCTCATCCTCTTCTACCATAATTTTCTTCCGCTTCACATTCCTCTTCCCAAATTGTCAAGCTCCATCCACAATGAACATAGCCTACCTTGTAAAATTCAAGATAGTTATTGTTAGGGGTAGAAATCACGTGTTCGGATCTCATCCCTGAACACCAAGGATTCTGGCTGGCCTTTACCCTTTTCTAAGGTAATACAGTAGTCTTTACCTCTATCTTACATCGGGTAGGAGTTGTCTCCCCCCTGCCATATAAGTGAACACTTTCTATGGAGGAGGTACCCACTAGGCACCTGATCAGGTCGCTAATGAGAACCTCCTCCATAGGAAGTGTTCACTTATATGACAGTGGGAGAGACGACTCCTACCCGAGTAGGAGTGAAAACTTGAAAACTTGAAGTGATTCCTTCCCCTAGGATGTTCAAAAGTAAGGATGGGTCTGCTAGCTTTGAGACTCCGGTGAAAGATCGGACAGTAGATACCATAAGGAAAGAGATCTCCAACGAGATTTCAGGCAAGGGCTCTCTGAAGAAGTTCGAAATGGCGAAATGAGAGAGGGACAAACACCCAATACGTTACGTATTGACACGTATCACTTTGTCGGATATGGGGTACATCGGTCCCTACATGTACCCGTCCAGGTTGACATTTTCTGCTCCTGCAGAGGCTATTGATGTACAGGTCACTAGCCTAGGCTGGGCTAGGTTAGCCATCATGACCTCATCTTTCACAATTGGTGTCAGAAGGTACGAGAAGACAGAAGACACAACCAATGGGGAATGGGCGCGTGACATATTGTGTCAGATCAGAGACAAAAAGTCCGAGATGCCCTTGCTGACACACGACTTGGGAAAACAAACATTTAGTGCACCATTCCCTTGATGAGACATCATTTAATGCAGGAAGACTCGAAAGTGAAAGGTAATAAATGTCCCTATGACTGGATATTTATTACATCTTTGCCGAGAAAAGCTCATTAAACATTCGGCAAGCCGATGACGAAACATTGGTTGCTCGAGGTCCCGAGCAGTTAAGAGAGAAGACATTCCTCATAGAAATCAGTGCACACGTTGTCCGTATCTAATGATCACCTACTGACCACATTGACATCAATCATGAGTTTTTGAGGTATAAGTACTCCTCATAAAAGGCAAGACGGTATGCAACAAAAAACTTTTTCTCAAAAAAATACACAGTGTTTTCTCCTTCCCATCTCTCAAAGAACTGACTTGATCGTCGGAGGGGGTACACCGAAAAACACTCCAACGCCCTCCTAACTCATTTTTCTCTGTTCCAGGAACCTCCCTCAGCCTTTTTGGATCGCTCCGTTGATCCACAAAAGTCACCCATTACCGTTCCAGGCCACCACCGANGTCTATCTTTTCATCTTCTGCCATCATGGTAATTAACTCTGATGTTTCGTTTGATAAGAAAAATGAAAAGTAAGAAAGATGAAAAACAGGAGGAATACATATTCTATTTTTCAAAAAAGAAAAGTAAGAATGCTACACTTTCCTTTCTTGTGTTTAGTAGGATGGATGAAAAATAAAAATAATTAAATTTTTTTTTGTTCTTATTAAGATTAAGGGTAACAATTGAGTTGTGTCGTGTCNAACCTCACAGTCTGTTCCAAGCAGCAAGGTTGACCATTCGATTGACTGACTCGAGTTCACCACTGAAGAGATCTATTCTCGTGTTTATATTGTACAAGATCCTACACGCACAGTTATTTTTTAAACCACTGAACAATATAGAACATAGTTTTCTCAAAAGATAATGAAAGAGTTGTTTGATCACCTGCGAGGCCTACGAGGCAGACCACTTTGAGCCGACACTGAGAACACTGAATAGTCACATAGATGATCTAAAGTTATATTCCATTGTTATCGTCGACTCTCTCACCNTAATAAATAGTTACAAATAATTAACATTTTATGTTTATAATACTAATTAAACATATTAGTTTCGTGTTAATTTCATATTACCATGCAAACAAGAAAATAGAGAAAACGTTTATTTTTAAATAAACAGGTTGATAGTGCCAATTTTGATTTTAATGGGTTGAATTGAATATGAGTTTTTTATATTTTTTGTTCGCTTGTTATGTCATTTTCAAGTTTATGTTGAGTTATAATCAAGTTCATGTCATAAAATTCGTGTTAAGTTCGAGTCGTGTCATTGCATTGAGTCAAAATTTTCACCCTAACTAAGATGAAAAAAAAAATATTTTTGTAATTTAAAATTTTTTAAAATATAAATGAATATATATTTTATCATTATATTTTTATATGAAATTAATATATACATAATATATTAATATATCAAAAGATATATAGATAAATAAGATTCATANATTTTTATATGAAATTCATATATACATAATATATTAATATATCAAAAGATATATAGATAAATAAGATTCATATCAACACAAATAATTAATTTTTTATCCACTTTTCTTCCGATTTTGGAGAGATTGATTTTGATGAATTGGAAGAAAAGTTAATCCATCTATTTTCTCACCCTTCATATTTTTTTTCTTACCAAACATGATGTTTTATTTATTATTATAATTTTTCATTCTTCCATTTTTTTATCATACCAAATGGAGCATAATGCTCATCCTCTTCTACCATAATTTTCTTCCGCTTCACATTCCTCTTCCCAAATTGTCAAGCTCCATCCACAATGAACATAGCCTACCTTGTAAAATTCAAGATAGTTATTGTTAGGGGTAGAAATCACGTGTTCGGATCTCATCCCTGAACACCAAGGATTCTGGCTGGCCTTTACCCTTTTCTAAGGTAATACAGTAGTCTTTACCTCTATCTTACATCGGGTAGGAGTTGTCTCCCCCCTGCCATATAAGTGAACACTTTCTATGGAGGAGGTACCCACTAGGCACCTGATCNCTCTTCCCAAATTGTCAAGCTCCATTAACAATGATCATAGCCTACCTTGTAAAATCCGAGTTAGTTATGTTCTAAACCACTAAATAGCGTCATCCGTATAGAACAAAGTTTTCTTAAAAGATAATGAAAGAGTTGTTTGATCACCTGCAAGGCCTACAAGGCGGACCGCTCTGAGTCGACATTGAACAGTCACATACATGATCTGAAGTTATATTCCATTGTTATCATCGACTCTCTCACTAGTAGTTGGCTCTCNGAACAGTCACATACATGATCTGAAGTTATATTCCATTGTTATCATCGACTCTCTCACTAGTAGTTGGCTCTCTGAATCATGTTGATTTCTTGGGATACAATGGATCGTCGGAGCACCAAACATTAATATTGAGTCTGGGAAAACATTTTCCCCATTACAAAATTAGGGTCTTACATGATTTGAGTTTTGATATTTTTAGCATCTTTATTTGCTTTATCCTCATTTTTTATGAGCTTGGTTTGGTGTATTCAAAATTTCTATGATCTGACCCGTTTTAATTTAGAGCAGCCCATACGNTTATCCTCATTTTTTATGAGCTTGGTTTGGTGTATTCAAAATTTCTATGATCTGACCTGTATTAATTTAGAGCAGCCCATACGATCAGACATGCAGTGAAGATGCAGGGGAGACGATGAGTATGTTGAAGGTGGTGTTTCCCTTGCACTCGCCAAGATTGGTGAGCATGCTTTCAGTTTACTAGAGTTCTCATTGTTTAGATTAGATGCATTTAACTACGATTCTCACTATATTTAATTCAAACACAATTCACACGGGTCTCTCTTAACAACTCTTGTGGTTCATTTTACACAATTACCCTTTATGTTACTCTCTCACACATTATTTGTCTCTGCATTGCCAAGCCAAAGGTATTGATTCAACATATACTACTATTGTATTAACTTTTTTTATTCTTCTATTTCTATAATTGTTTTATATGAGATGTGATCTGCATTAGCACATTGAGCAATGATGAATTGGTGTTACATTGGTTCACCATTCAATTCCCTAATTTCCTCTTTTTATTTCTTTTGTTTTTCTCAATGGGCTGGTGTATTTTTTTAATTTTCACCGGTATGAAAATTTTAGTAGGGTGAAGGAGTTTGCTAGCTAGGTAATCCATAGTACCAATATATTGCTTGTAATCACTATGTATTATTTTGATTGTTGGGGATGCTTGAATGCGAATGAGAAAGGAAAAAAGAGCAAATTTATCACAACCACAATGGTGCATTAGAAGAGATTTAGTATTTTGCCTTTGACTACTTTTTGCTTTAGACTCTACTATAATTGCGTCATCTCATTAAAGAGTTGACGTACAACCTGTTTGCCATGAAGTACATTGAAAGAG